TGATGATTTGGACACTAATCAGTTGCTGGTCCAGTTAATAATTAGTTTTTAACTTTTTTCTTTCTGATAGGTGGAACAAGAAACTGCAAGGAAGGGAGGATTTATGAAGGACTAGATTTTTGATCTACAAATGAGCACATTTAAAGTCAGGTTGGGCATGTAGGACATAATAGCAAGAACATAATGGTCCCAGCTGGAGCTGAGTGTCAAGCACAGAGGTTAAGATGAGAGGGCCGATAGCTCATGTTGTCATATGACCCAACTGTAGTGGATACTGTGGTATACCACCAGACTCTGCCTTTAGGACCAAGCCAAGGAGTGTTGGCTCCTGACAGCTCACAGCTGCCTCCCTCCCCATGAATTTCCCAAAGCAGTTGCCTTACCCAGAGTTATTTCCCCTTCCCAGGTTCAGTCCACATCCAAAAATTGATCTGAATGGACATAATGAAGACCCAGCCCTGTTGCTTCAATTAGGACAATTTAAGGGCCATTCTAGCTCCAGAGATCCCCATGAGATTGACTGAAGATTCTATTACAACTACATCACAGTTCATCATCTTACTCCTTCCTCTGCCCAATTCTCATCACTCACCCCTGTCTCTCATGCCCCACAGGTATTGATCCCCAAGAGTATTAACATCCTGAATGCAAATCTCAGACTCTCAAAACAAAGGCAAAAGCAAAAACAATACAAAACAACAGAAACCCCAGCATCTCATGTTTTATTTTCCAGGGTCCCTGATGTATATATTCCCCATGGACCTTGATATCCAACCTTTTCTTAAGCTTTACTTGTCTCCATTTGGGTAGTTTCAGTTAGTCTTGTAAATTGACCGTCCTGGTTCCTGTCATCCCTAGTGATTAATCAACTGCTGTGCTTGCAAGGAGAAGATTCTGATACAAATCCTGGGCCACAGTGGCCAGGGCTGATTTCTTAATTCTTAAGTAGTTGGTAGATTTCTCTTCTTCACTATAATCCCTAAAGGGTTCTTTTAATCTATCTTTTCTTCTTCTGACTACTTAAAGACTAGTGTTTGGCACTTAATAGTAATCATTAAAATTCACTAAGCACTAGATGTTAAACACTGTTCTAAGTGTTTTGTATCTGTATCTCTCTAACCCACAGCAATACTTAGCAATACTAAGAGGTAAGTCTTGTAAGTATTCCCATTTTTATAGGTAGGGAACTTGAGGCACAAGATGTTAAATAACTTCCTCAAATTACAGAGCTAGTGAATAGTAGAGTCAGAGTTCTAAACTAGGCAACCAGTGTGCTGCACCAGCTCAGCCAAGGGTTCAGTGAGCCTGAGGAGGGGTGGTGAAGGATTAAAGAAATGACAGACAAAGAGAATATAGCTGGGGCTCGGTGGATCTCCTGTGCCTGGATGAGGCCACAGAGAAGGATCCAGCCAGCAAGCTGAGGCTTTATTTTATAGACAGAGAAAAACAAGGTAGTGGTCACCATAGTTACACTGTTCTTGTGGGTTTCACTTGTTTTGGCAACACTTGCTGCACCTCCCACAGCCAATTTGCTAACCAAGAAGGATCTGGGTGGGGGGGGAGCCATAAGGTCAAGCTTAATTATGCTAAGAGGCACCTGTTTGTGGCTCTACCACAGGTCAATCCGAGGCTTAACCTAGAGCTGCTCCCTACAAACCTGACTCCACTATCCACCAACTTAAATAAAGGACACAGAAAAGGATTTGATGGAGCTATGAGTGAATGAGGATGGAGCTGGCAAACGACATGTTCAAGTCTTGTTGCACAGTGATAAATTAGATCCTCAGGGAAAGTATTCTCTGAATGTTTCTAAGGGAAGAAACTTTGCTAGTGATCTTAGGTATTCCCATAATGATTCTACTGTGTGTGTAGGATGCTGCTAAATTCTGAGGTCCTATCCAGTTCTGAAAGATTAAGAGATTGTAAAACCCCCTTTCTCAAAGGGTATTGAGACTTGAGGAATTTCTACAAAGCATGTTTGACTGACTTAGAAGTGAATTTAAAATTAAGGTGCTAAACAAGTCAGAAACCCTTTAAAGTATTATTTATCTTAATCTGTAGCTTCAAATGCTAATAAACCTCTTCAGATATTAGATAGGCCTGTAGGATTTGGGATTTCTCTGGGGTTCAGTTAACTTAAAAAGATTAAGGAAAATGCATAGCCAGGGGTGTTTATCATCAAAACTCATCATTCCCCACTTTCCTCTTCCTTATCAGAAGTCAAAGGCAACATGTAAGATATGTGGCTATCAGAGGTTATAGCTTGTTGCCAATGAAAAAGCACAGCTGAGTTGGATTTAATTTATGGCCCCTCTGTTGAAATTTAGGATTTCTTATCTTTGCTTCCACTTTTTCTGTCTAGACACTTGACAATGATTTGCAGGAAATTAAGGCACTTACCCCTGCTGAGAACTCAGGGCTAAAACATTTCTAAATATAATTTGTGTGTGTGTGTGTGTTTTTATACAAGTTAATGTTAATTCAAAAGGAAAACAGCAGTTTTTTTGTGTTTGTTTGTTTTTTTCTGCCTCTGGAAATGGCATTAGCTAACCCTCACTCAGAGCTGTGTGACTTTTCATATTCTATTTTTTCTAGGCTAATAAGCTTGTCCAGTTATTTAGGGAACAAAACACTAACCTGTCTTCTTTGACAAATGCGTAAGATTCTTGTCTTAGACCACTTTTTCCTTCTCTCACTTTCTTTTTTTCTTATAAAGATGGAAAATAATTTTGTTCTCTTAAAGCTGGTATCAGAACTTCTTATAGTAAAACATTGGCTTTTGCTGAGAAAATGCCAATTCACTTTAGGGACTCAGGGCCTTGATACTTTCATCAAGCATTCACTTTCTGAGAGGAGGAGAAGTTTTGCTGCTAAATATAAGACAGGGCATTTGGGATTTGGCTTTCTTGGGGGGCATCTAGATGAGGAGAAGGGTGAATGTTGTGTGAAAGGAGAAGAGAGATTACTCCCAAAGTTGTCAACTCTAAGGGAAAATTTTGAGGTAGAATAAGAAAGGATAAAGGTAAGTTTTAAGGTGTTCTTTACAGGATAATTAGCATAAACTACTTCCCACCTCACCCCTCATCTGTCCCATGAAATCTTCTAATTTCTTTGGGAAAACAGGTAAGCTCTATGTCAGTGATGGTGAACCTATGACACGTGTGTCAGAGGTGACACGCGAACTCGTTTTTTTGGTTGATTTTTCTTTGTGAAATGGCATTTAAATATATAAAGTAAATATCAAAAATATAAATCTCTGTTTTACTATGGTTACAAATATCAAAAAATTTCTATATGTGACACGGCACCAGAGTTAAGTTAGGGTTTTTCAAAATGCTGACACGCCTAGCTCAAAAGGTTCGCCATCACTGCTCTATGTTCATGTTGGTGACCAAAAAGCTTTAATGATTCAGGAACAAGTGCTCAGGAGGAAAGCAGTTGTCTGGGTCACATTTTAGGGCTATCTGAATGTTTACTTTTTGCACAACACACCCAATTGGCTGCAGTTTATCTGATTCAGTTAAGGTTGCTAAACTGGTCAATGGGCTATTGCTCAACCACTCTAGCTGTCATTCTGCAACACAGTTAAGAGAGAGGAATTAAGAGTCAGCCACTTATAAAAATCCAACTTTCTACATATGAAGCATTTCATATATGCTTTTTCTTGTAAATTGGTAAGTGTGTTAGTTTACTAGGGCTGCCATAATGAATACCACAGACTAAATGGTTTACGCAATAGGAGTTTATTTTCTCACAGTTCTGGAGCCTGGTCTGAGATCAGGGTTGATCAGAGTTGATCTCATTCTGTGGGTTCTCTCCTTGGCTTGAAGATGGAGTATTCTCCCTTTCCATGACACAATATTTCCTCCATTTGTGTTTCTCTGTCCCCATCTCTTCTCATAAGGACTATTGGATTAGGGTCCACTTATATGACTTAAGTTTACCTTAATTACCTCTTTAAAGGCCTATCTTCAGATATAGTCACATTCTGAGCTAGTAGGGGTTAGGGCTTGGAATATATGAATATAGAGGGGATATATTTCTGACTATAACAGTAAGATATTTGTAGTTTGGGGAAAATTTCTATACACACACACACACACACACGCTCTCTGTATCTGAACACACACATGTTTTTAGCTGCTACACAAAACCACACATGCATCATAGTGAAGCTTGAATGAGTTCTGCCATCACCGGAGACATGGTTGCAGGGGTTATGCAGTAAATTCTACCCAGTACAGTATGATGTAGCCCACCAGGAATGTTCCCTGCTTTGCAACATTATTTACAATCACATTGGGGCCGCTTTCCTCATGTCTGTAAACTTCAAATAGTATTACTTTAAGTCATACTGTACTTGTGAAACTCAGACCTGACTTTGTCTCCTATAAGAGCCAATGCTGTTATGTTTCAACTAGTTGCTGGTTTTAGGGCTTCTACAATTGCTCAAAAGGACCCTTCTAATCTCTATCCAGGAAATTAGCAAGTCCTTTAACTATCTCCAGCCTATCCACCTTGCTTTTCCTAGAAACCCATCAATGTGTTGTTGTTGTTTTTCATCTGTAGGATGGAAACACTAGTAAATAGTTGTCATCTTCCATGGTTACTGAGAGGGTTAAATAAAATTGCACATGTAGTAATAATATTGAGGTTTCCTGTGTGCCACTAGTCACTGTGCTAAAACAGAGACATGTTTTTCTTCCATTCCTGAATCCACCTAAAGCTGTTAAACAATTCATCAAAGCAGAGTTTTATTTTACTCACAGATGTTTAAACTACCCTGAATGAAGATTTTGACATTAGTGCTCTTGAGCATTGGAGTGATACTAAGTATAGATGAACCCCTTCATAGTTATTGGCATTTGTAAAACATTTGAAAGTGGATAGTTTTCCATGATGTGCTGAGAGAAATGATGACAGTTTCCCCCAATGTGACACAAAAGCTTTTGGAGGTCTCTTTAGTTTCACTGTATCAAAAAAGACTTATTTTATTTCAGTGTCTGAGGATATTCCAAACCCAAAACCTATGGATAAGAACAATTTGCATTGAACAGAGCCCCAAGCAGGCTAAAGGAATGCTCAAAAAACACAACTCACCAAGCGAAAACAGGCGTCAAAGGTGGACTCGCTGTCCAGTATCCAAGTAACTGCTGCGCTCTGAGTTCAGGTGAAGTAAGTAAAGATGTTTCCATTACGCTTGTCAACATAGAAAAAGAGTCCTGATTTCATGTTCCTCTCTTTAGGCAAAGAACAGTGTGCTTCTTTCATATGCTCATAATGATGTTTACTTTTTATGCCTTCAAGAGCCAGAAATTCCAGAGTTAAAATTTTCTGTTCAAAAGTGGTGGGTAGGTTTAGGCAAGGGTTCTGGTTGAATTATATTTTCCTTCTGCATTATTACATGGTTCTTGATCTAATGTCCTTCTTTAAATGGTCAGCATATACTTTATGGTTAGTCACCTCAGATCTTCTGGAAGTAGATATTACCTGTTCATTGATTTAGTCACACAACCACCCAAGAGATATTTATGAGTGTTAATTATGTACTAGGCACTGTGCTGTTTGAGAAACCAGAGGTAAATAAGATGATTTCCCTTTATTTCCATGATTCTCAAAGCCCATTAGAAATGATAAATAATTTTACAAGTAATTTTTTTAATTACTAAAAGGAGAAGCATGGCTCCTAAGAGAATGTGAAATAGGAATAGGAGGTGCAGGAATGGTCCTCTCATGCACATTTTGTAAAAAGGCTTCCTAGCGCTCTGTGAATCTGAGTTGAAGATATCAACAACCTTTTTGGCTGATATGTATAGACAGAGACTGATGAAGATGCTTTACATATAAAAAATTGGGTCCTCATCATTATTTGTCATTTTAAAAAATTCATCCATATTTAGCTCATGATCATCTTCAACAAATATTATCTTCACAATCCCAAAACCACAATATATTCTCTAAAAAAATTTACTTGGCATACATTTTCTCAACATCTGGGTTTTGTTGTCGTTATCACTTTTCTCCCTATCTCTGCTGATAACAGAGAATGAATTGTAAGTTCCCAGAGGAGTGTTCCACATCATTCTACATTGTTTTGCAGCATATAATGCACCCAGTTTGCAAGCCTGTTTTACATAGGCATTTTGATTATTTTATTTTGAGATAATTTTTCTTGACCACTAAGTCTTTGGAAACTTTGTGGGCAGAATTCACAGCCAAGTCTGTGTATTAACAGATGCATATGAGAAATTGTCCAAGAATTTAGAAATGTAAAATCTCAGAGTTGGAAGGGCTGAACACATTATCAAGGCCTACCAATCATTTGTAGATGGGGAAATTGTGACTAGGTAGGAGGAAGGATATACCTAAGTGATAGTTCTTTCAGTATATTGCTTCTATATTTTTTCTTGGTAGGCTCCAAGTTTATCATCACTTGTGGTAATTTTTACCCTAATTGCTGAACTAACAAAGGGCCAAAGAAAGCTGCATTTAACTGTAGTATTTAACTTCTTTTCAGAGAAGTCCTGTCTCTTTATTCATAGAAAACCAGCATGTAATAGATGGAGTAGAAATGTAAAAACTGGAGGTTTGTACCAAGAAATATATATATCTAGAAAAAGCCCAAGAAATCATGTTATTAATGTTTTGGTTTCATCTGGATACACATGGTTAGAGCACAATTTATGTGGAGTAAATAAAATGTGACATTATTTGTTTTGAGGAAGAATGTGTCCTCCAAACCCAAGGCAGTGAGCTGATTATTTATTTAAAAACACACACACGCCTATTTAGTCTAACTGAGGAACCTGCTGTTTCTCCCTATCCTGTGCAAAATTGCTTTTTAAATGTAACCTAATGGAGAATTTCATTGTTTTGTATAAAGAATTTCTCTGACCTTTTGTCTAACGGGAAGTCAAGGTCATGAAATGTTTGCATCCTCCAGAACCTACTCTGAGAATAACTTAAGCTTCTGAGGCACAATGGCTTTCTAAGATGTCCTTCTAAGTACCTGTGCCATTTTTTTAGTTGAAAGGAAAAAAAAATAGGCTACCATGATATGACATTTGCCCCAAGTTGTTTATTTTGATGAATGCTTTAGAGCAGTGGTTCTGAAAGCTGCATGAACATTAAATAATATAGGGAGCCTTTAAAGTAATTCAAGTTCACGTATATTCTGATTCAATTAGTCACCAGTAAGGTAGGGTCAGAATTACAGAGAACATAAGCTTTGTGTGCCTTCTTAGCTTTCTTTGCTCTCTTCCATCTAGTCTGAAGGCTCTTGCCTCTTTGACCATGTTCCACTCTTCTATCTTTGTTAGACCCTTGCTGAACACCTACCACCACCATCTCTTTAATTCCAACCCCCCTGAGTTGGCTAGAGTTCAAGGTAAAACCCCAAAAAACAAGAATTGCATGACCCATTTGCTGAACTCTAACTATATCAAATCACCTCTCTTTTCATGTAGATTTGGATAAAATGCCATACCTCAGGGCATGGGATCTGATTTTTTGAGAGTAGCAGGATTCCTAGATGATATTCCGGAAGCAATTCACCATTAGGTAAAAGTTGACTAATGAAAACGGGAGATAGGAGGGAACTGAGTAGATAAATCCACTCTTCTGTGGACTGCTCCAACATGTGGCTTCTCCTTCCATATCTGGAGAAATCCTGACAAGCAACTGCTCTATCTCCGCAATACTTTTTGTAAAGTGCTGGCCATCAAAATGTAACATTACTCTACGTCTTCCATTGCCTACTTATCTCTTCACCATCATTGTCCTGGGCTTGTACCACCCAAATAAAGTGTCAAGTATTTTAATACTTACCTCAGTCTTTGCTTTCTATAGAATTTTAATACAGATATTTTTTTTTCAATTTCCCAATTCTACCATATAGCTAGAATTGAAAAATACTCCTCTGAGGAAGACCTGAACTCCCATCCTTTCAAGAGTATCACATAGCAATAAGGTTTTTCTTAATGTTGTTTCCCTTTATTAAATTTTCAAAACAAGTGTATAAGACTTTCTTTATAATTTTTCCCCATTATTCCCTATCCATTCACATTTTCAAAGTCCCATATTAACTAGTATAAACAGTTTGATGTGCTGTCTGGTTGAAGTGTATTTTATACATAGGCGTAATGGAGTTCCAAGGTTCTTTTATTTGTTTAATTAATTTTAAGTATATTTTTATTGATTTCGGGGAGAGAGAGATAGAAACATTAATGATGAGAGAGAATCATTGATTGGCTGCCTCCTGCATGCCCCTGCTGAGGATCAAGCCTGAAACCTGGCATGTGACCTCCTGGTTCATATAGGTTGACACTCAATCACTGAGCCACGCTGGCTGGGCCTTTTATTTTTTGCATGAACTTGATCATCTATCCATATTGTTCTATAGTGGGTTTTGACATTTAACAATATTTCTAAAAGACTGTCATAATACAAAGGGATTCTTTATTCTTTTGAGTTGTGGTATAGTATTTCATAATGTGGGTATATAAAATAACTTTTCTTTACCCTTATTAAGAGGAATTATGATTGCTTACAATTTTTTGACTTAAAAAACAATGCTGATTTGAGCATCCTTGAGTGTGTATCTTTGTGCACATATTAATATAATTCTCAAAGACAGCTAGAACTAGAACTGTTGAGTTGAAAAGCATGGTCACAATAAATTTTGATATATACTTCTAAAATGCCCTGTTAAAATGGTGTCCCAATTTATATGTCACACCAAGAGTGTATGAGAATTGCTATTTCTTCTCACCTTTACCAATGCTGTCTATTATCAGTTTTAAAAATTGTCAATTTTGGAAAATAGTGATACCCCATGGTTTTTTTAAAGTTATTAAACATTATGTTTAATCTTTATTTTAAGTCTTTTTGGCTTTGAATCTCCAGTTTGGAAATTTTTATTAAACTTTATTAGAACAGGATGTGAGTTCAGTGAGGTTGCTGAGGAGTTGGGCCATTCTTTATAACAATAGTCTTTAAGGCAGGTCTGATTACTTCACACTCTCTGTTACCTTGAGTCTCGGAATTTAGAGGGCTGAGCCATCCCAGCCCCCTTCTCTGAGAGGAACCAGACCTGGGCACGAGACAAGAAGATTGAAAAGGCTTTCTAATATTTGAGTTGCTGGAAGAAGCCTTCACACCTGCTTAGCCTGTTCTCCAAATCCCCTGTTGACTTTATCTCTACCCTGCCAGTTTGAACAGAGGCAGAGCATGCGGAGAACTTTCCCCAAAGACAGACCAAGATGCTCTGCCAGGGAGTCTGCGTCCAGAGAAGCTGAGCCAAGATTTTTTGGCAAACAAACTTTAAGCAAGGCTGAAGTTGCCTTGCCAATGTGAAACAGCCCAGCTCCTCAGTATGATTGGAAGATGGTTGTAGTATGGATAGGGAAAGTGTGGTGCAAATGAGGCTATGACCAGATGTGGGCTCTATCCCCCAAGCTAGCCCTGTATCTCTACTCCTTGTGTAGATAGTTAATATTTTTGTACATTACCTTTCCCTTGGAATAAAAAAAACAGAGTCATGATCCCTACTGATGGGATGTTCCTAATCTGATAAAGAGACATGGTCCTCACTCTTAAAGTTACCCAAAACTACTAAGAAAATGGGTTTTGTTATGTCTAGTTGGAGTTTATAATATTATTGATGAGATGAAATATCTCCACATGACTCAAGAACATTTCAAAAAGCAATGCATAATAAATTTGATGTAAGCACATCAGCACAGAAGGGAACAATAGGAGTGGTTAATTTGGATACAGTTCTAAGGGGCAATGTTTAACATTTAGGAGCTCAGAAATTTGGCTCATTTCCATTCTTTCCACTTAATTTTTCCATCCTTGCTTATCCCCAGGTATCTCTTTCAAATTGGCCAAAGATGGAAAGTCAGTGCCCCAGACTGGCTCTGCTTCCCAATCCATCCTTTCAGAGAGAAGGACCAGATCCTGTTCATTGTGATAGCTTTTAGTTTAGATTATATGTCTCTCCCACCTCTGACAGGTCCTTTTATATGTGGGATTCAATGTAATTCAATATATGTATGGAGAAGCTCTTTAGTGTCATGAGTTATGCTGGTTGTTAGAAAAACAGCAATGACAAAAACATAATCTCTGCTAACAATTTAAGGAGACAGGAACACAAACAACTTGCTTTAAATAGTGTGATGAATGCTACAGGGAAATTTAAATGAGTCTTATACCCCTAAAACGTAATTTTATTAACCAATGCCACCCCAATAAATTCTATGAAAATAAATGAAGAAATAAAGAAAGAAAAGTATATGATTTTCTAATCACTATGCTATACTGAATCACTGAAACAATACAAAATAATATTGAATGTAAACTGTAATTGAAAAATAAAATTAAAAAGAAAAATATGAAGTTTTAAAGAGTGAACAGAAGTAAAGCTTCTGTAAAAAACTGAGGAAGCACAGCCTTGTCAAAATATAATGGGGGACTTCCTTGTTCCCTTAATGCAGAGTAAAAGTGACTGGAATTAGCCTCCCACCTAAAAAAAGAAAACCAGCAACGAAACAGAACATTATAAAACAACAGTTTTCAAAATGCTTGACATCAGGCTAACAAAGGACAGTGACCCATGTGAGATATGAAAATATGAGGTAAGCCCTAAAATTCCCCCAGCTTTCTGCCTTGAGAGTTTCTAGGCTGCAGCACAGAGGAAACCCTGGAAGTACCTGGTGAATTCTGGAACCTGAAGAGATGGAGTAGAGGATCTGGGGAGATCAAGGCAGCTAAGGTTCACAGGACAGAATACTGGAGGGAGAGAACTTCACAGAAAGAGAACTTCAGAGATCTGAAGATAGTGTCTCTCAAATATTCAGATCAGTACTGATTAGTGCATACATGTGAGGAAACTACCCAAAACGTAGGTAAGACTCATCCGAAATACAGTAAGTCCTCACTTTATGTTGTTGATAGATTCTGCAGTCTTGAATGAAATGAGGTATGACAAAACCAGTTTTACTATAGGATAATTTATATAAACAAGATTTAAGTTCCTAGTCATCTCATCAACATAATGAAATGACATTAAACAAAATGACTTTACTCAAGGGCCTGCTATAATAAAGAAAAACTCCCTAGGACTCATATAGAGAGGTCCAGGATTAATGCTTGTTTTTACCAGCTAGAGTGGAAAATTTCAATATCTTAATTGGATATCAGGGTTATCAGTACTCAAAAGGGTTTTACTTTAGTAACATGGTACAGCTAGTCCTAGAATAAATTAACCTAACAAAACCAAGACCAGAAAGATCAAGCTCTCTTCAAGTAATGTAACAGTGTCATGGAACAAAGCTCCAGAATAGTTATAGGAATATCAAAATATCCAACAACGTAAAATAAACAATTCAACTAAAAATCCAGCTAATCAATTAAAACTGCTTCTGAAGTAAAACAGATGCTAACAATAGTAGACCAAGATATGAAATCATTGTTATAACTGTATCCCATGTATTTATAAATCTAGAAGGAAAATTGACTATATTAATTAGTCACCGCAGATATAAAAAGAACTGACTCAAACTTTTTGAGATGAAAACTGCTGTTTCTGCAATGAAAACACACTGGATGAGATTATTATAGAGATTGCAGAAGAAAATACTGGTGAACTTGAATATATAGTAATAGAAATGATCCAAAATGAAACACACCAAATAAGAATTTTTAAAAAATCAGTGAGCTTTAGGAAAAATATAAGCAGCCTAATAGACATGTACTTTAGGTCCATAAAGGAGGAGGGGGGTACATTTTCAAAAGGAATAAAAACATAGCATATCAGCATTTGTGGGATGCTACTAAATGAGTATTTAGGAGAAATTATAGCAAAAATGACTATTAAAAAATAAAAAAGGTCTCAATCAATACATTTAGCATTTTTTTAAAGAATGATTAAAACCAAACTAAGGATAGAGAGGAAATAATAATGATTAAATCAGAAATCAATGAATTATAAAACAAAAATCAATAGAGAAAAATCAATGAAATAGGAGCTGGTTCTTTGAGATCATTAAAATTGATTAAGTGTACCCAAAACTGTTGAGGAAAAAGAGAGAAAACACTTATTATTGATATCAGTAACATCACTACAGATTCTATAGTAATTAAAATAACTAGAGGCCCGGTGCATGGATTTGTGCACCGGTGGGGTCCTCAGCCTGGTGTGCACCCTTTTGCAATCCAGGACCCCTTGGGGGATGTTAGAATGCCGGTTTCAACCCAGTCTCCACAGGCCTAGGCCAAGGGACCCCACCAGTGCATGCCTCTAGTATGCATGTAAGATCTTTGGTTAACCTCTTCCTGTCCACCATCCTCCCCCTTCCCTCTGAGATTCATCAGTCTGTTCCATGTTTCCATGCCTGTGCATTGAGCATCTTCCCTCTGGTGGTCAGTGTGCATCATAGCTACCGGTTGAATGGTTGAACGGTCGCTTAGGCTTTTATATGTATAGACTAGTGGCCCAGTGCATGAAATTCATACACGGGATGGGGAGAGGGGTTCCCTCAGCCCAGCCTGTACCCTCTCCAATTGGACATCCCTCTCACAATCTGGGACTGCTGGCTCCTAACCACTCACCTGCCTGCCTGCCTGCCTAATCCCCCTAACTGCCTCTGCCTGCCTGCCTGATCACCCCTAACTGTCTCTGCCTTGGCCCCCACCACCATGGCTTTGTCCAGAAGGAAGTCGGACATCTGAAAGATGGCTGGTCGACCTGGTCTAATTAGCATATTACACTTTTATTAGTATAGATAGATTATATAGGATAGGATTGCTTAAATGGGGAGGGGGGAAAGTCTTTTTTAGCAGGAGGAGACGCTCTTGGCAGACAAAAATACATAATCCCTATATCTGGACTGATAGCCAGCCATATGCACTATACTGCCAAACAGGCCATTAAAAAATTGAACTGCTTTCTTACACCTTACACTAAAAAGCTGTTGCCCTTAAAACCCCACCTCAGCCCCCACCTTAGGTTCTGCCTTCGCAGTTCACCCAGATTAGGTCCTGATTGGTCGGTTTCTATGCCAGTCAGCATCAAAAGCTCTGCCTCCTAGGCAGCCATTGGCTCCTCGCAGTTCACTCAGATTTGGTTCTGATTGGTCAGTTTCTTAGCCAGTCAGCGTCAAAAGCTTTCTCTGCCTCCTAGGCAGCCATCTTGTGAGAGTGTGAGGGTTAATTTGCATATTACCTCTTTATTATATAGGATAATAAGGGGGATAGTATAAACAACATTATGCCTATAAAGTGAACAACTTAGAGAAATTGGACAAATTTTTGAAAGATATAATCTACTAAAACTCATTAAAAAATAGATAGATTTCAGAATACTTATGCTAAAAGAAGCCAAAACAGAAACAATGTAGCTTGTAAGTTTCCATTTATATAAAACTCCTGAAAATGCAGCTAATCTATAGTGATAGAAAGCAGATCAGTGGTTGTTGGGGATGGGGTTTTCAGGAGGGTGGACTAGCAGGATTTCAGTGAGGCATATAGAAATATTTGGGAGGATGGATGCACTTACTCTTTGTGGTGAGAGTTTCATCAGTGAAACTCATAAATCAAAACTTATCAAATTATAAATGTATAGTTTCTTAATTATGTGTAGTTTCAGATACACCAATTACAGGAGTTTTTAAGAATTCTATAATCATTTTTCTGTATTGCCATAATGAAATTTATGTTCAGGATGGAATGTTGAATGAAGAAACCTTTAAGCAGCCTTACAATTGTACATGCCCCACTGTCTCACTTCCATGACAAACCCAAAAATAAAACGCAAACAACCAAAAACAAGTCATTTTTACCATGATGTCTGAAATACCTTCAAGAGATAACAACATTTAAGTAAGGCTTAAAGTGTCCCAGGATAATTGGTGATCTCCCACAGATCTGTCATATGGGCTATACCCCCTTTCTGTGTGTGGTAGAGTTAACAGGTGGGTATAAAATGGTGAGCAAGCAGGGAGGATGCCCAAAAGAGATTCTCATCTTTGCCATTAACTAGCTGTGTGACTCCAGGCAAGTCACTTGCCTTCTCTGTTCCTTTATCCAGCTTTAAAATAAAGTTGCACTAGATGGACTCTAAGGCTCTTTTAAGCTCCAAGATTAGATTTTTAACATGCCCTGCTATCGTACAGAGGTTTTTATCACAGATTCCAACATCTAGAGGACTAATTTCAGTAGTTATCCTTTGATAATATGATTTCACATGTAGGTAGATTTACTGCTTATTATAGCTACCTTTTATCTGGAGTATTGCAGTGCCTTGCAGTGCACATTAGCATGTTTAGAGCTCTGGGGTATTCTACAGAGAAAACGTGAATTTAATTTTGTTTTTGCTTTGTCTTCCCAAGTTTTGACCACAGAATCATATATTTCACTGAACACCTAATAAATATCTGATGATTCATGTAATTCTGTCATCGATTGTCTTCCACAGAGCCAGAATTAGTTGGGATAGCATACTCTTGGAGGGACCAGGAAATGGAGAACTTAAAGGGATGTGTCTGAGAGTGACCTAGAATATGAAAAGGGACAGATGCAGGGTGATGAAAATTAGTAGACCTTCTGGAGTGGGCTGTGGGAAAAGGAGAGGCAAGTGTCTTTCTTTGGAATGTCTATTCTAAGACCTTCAGAGGTGCTTTCATCCCCTCCCGGCCCTCCCTACCTCTATGCAAGCCATTGCAAAGTAGATTTCTGCACGCCCATCAGCCCATATATTCTACTTGGCTTTGAATCTCTCTAATTGCCTTATGAGCAGATGGGAGTCTTTCTATTGCCTTGGCTCAGTGTCTCACATTGTGTGCAGAAGAAGAAGATTTGGTAGGGATTGGGGTTCAGTAGTTACTAAGTTCCTCGGAGACCAACCTACCTGTCCAAGGCCCAGCACTTCTGATATTCTAGGGAGTTCAGGTCACACATCCTACTAAAATTGATCATTTTTACCAACAAAAGTAGCTTTTTTTTTTCTGCACATAGATTTGCAAATACTCAAAAATATAAGACACTATATAAAAATTTGAGGAAAAAAGAGAATTGAATTTTACTGTCTGTGATAATGATTATCATTTTGATGACTCTCTTTTATTTGTCATTTTATATATATACTAGAGGCCCAGTGCACAAAATTTATGCACTCAGGGGGTGGGAGTTTCCTCTCACAGTCTGGGAGCACTCCATGAGCCCAACTTCTGACTGAGTGTCTCTCCCCCTGTGGGAGTGCACTGACCACCAGGGGGCAGCTCCTGCATTGAGCATCTGCCCCCTGGTGGTCAGTACACATCATAGCGACTGGTCGTTCTGCCATTCAGTCAATTTGCATATCAGCCTTTTATTATATAGGATGCATCACATTTTTATAAATGGGATTATAATTTGTGGTAGTCAGAGTCCTCAAGAGTATCTATGTCCTAATCACCAGAACCTGTGAATATGTTACATTACATGGCAAAGAGAAATTAAAGGTAGCAGATGGAATTAAGGTTGCTAATCAGCTGACTTGAAAATGGGGAGATTATCATGGATTATTTAGGTGAGTCCAATGTAGTCATGGGGATTCCTCAATGTGGAAGTT